CTCTGAAAGTCAATTCGAGTCGTGTTAAGTTGGTACTATTACTAATGAGAGGTATGCTAGAAAGACCTGGACTTGTCTTTTGCTGAGAAGCAGCACTTCTTCCACTTCCCAGTAGGAAGAACTGGGACCTGATGTCAAAAACTTGAGTGCGGGCCCCAGTTGCATCCTCGGTCAGCTGTATGACCTTCAATTTCCTCATGGGTGAAATGAGGATTATTTAGGAGCTAAATGTCAAAATATGTGTGGAACACGATGTGTGTAAAATATGTGTGTACGTACTTGTAACTTTTTCTCAGCTGACTCCCTGTTCTGCTCAAAAACCCTTAAAGTCTTCATTCGCTTAGGTGTGGACACCATCCCAGGGCCTGTATTAGGTGTGGGAGATAAAAACAAGGAGACCTGTCTCTGAGCTTAGAGAATTGCACCTGTCAGCTCTCTGTCCACCTTCTGAGCCCCACCCCTCAGCTAGTCAGGCCAAATGAACAGTTTCTCAGAGCTGCCCCCCTTCCTCACGTTCAGAAGCATTTAAATTCACAAAATGTGTACAGGTCCTATTTCAAATGGCTAATAGTATTTGGGGGCAGAGTTCAGTAATATTAATTTTCACTGGTTACAGATTCAATTCAGTACACATGCATAAGGGGTCAGATTACAGACAAATATTATTAGTTTATATTGTACTTTACCATTTCTGTAGTATTTTTTATACATGATAGCATTGATACCAGTAACCCTGGGGGGTAGATAGAGCAGATCAATTCCCATTTTTCAGAAGTAGAAACTGAAGCCCAGAGAAGTTAAATACCTTCTCCCAGACAGGCAGGGAAGCCATTAGGCCTGGGACTCTGACCCCAGGTCCAGTGCTCTTCCTGTGCTTCGTTGCCGCCTCCTTGGGGTCTAGCTAGACTGCTGTTAGCCACACAGAGTCTGGTAACCTTTTTTCCCCTCATGAATTGCTTAAAAAAAAAAAAAAAGTCACAGATCATTGAGAAGCTTGCAAATGAGATTCATGCCTCAGATTAAAAAATTATTTATAGTAGTGAATATAATATTCTATTATACTCTCTATTGTCACCCCATTGAAAAGTAACAGATGCTACCCCCTCCCCAAAAAAGCTATTTTGAAACATTAAAATGTATATTGTAATGGATCATATTTTTTAAAAGGCTTACACAGTAGATTTCCATTTCAGTTTGAACAAATTTATCACTGATGGAAGCACCTAGTTTCTGACCCATTTCTAGATGGCCTTGTTCTCAGATACTCTCTGACCCTTGGTCAGCTCCTCATGGGCTCCGGGCTTCAGATGGGAGCATTCTCTTTATCATCTTGGTTCAGTCCCACATTTGTATTGCATTTGGATTGGAGTTCTGCTCCCAGACCCACATCTCCCTCCCCACTCCTGAACCCACCCCCTCAGATTGTACCTGTGCAGTCAGCTCCAAAGGCTTGGACTCCAAGGAAGGCTTCATAGTTTTGAAAATACTGTTTTTACTGCAATAGAAAGGAAATGGACCAAAACATACAGAGAGAATGTGGCAAAATTAATGCTGTATAAGTCTATTTGATATTTTAAGTATTAAGAAAACAGTGGGGGGGGGGCGGGGGTTGTGCTGGGTGGCTCAGTGAGTTAAGCCTCCAGCTCTTGATTTTGGCTCAGGTTATGATCTTGAAGTTTGTGAGATCGAGCCCATGTCAGGCTGCACACTGACAGTGCGGAGCCTGCTTGGGATTCTCTCTCTCTGCTCCTCCCCTGTTCTTGTGTCTTCTCTCTCTCTCTCTCTCTCTCTCTCTCTCTCAAAATAAATAACCTTAAGATAAATAAGTAAATAGAACTGTGTTAGTGAGCCTTCAACATTAGGGGGAAAGCACAGATTCTTCCTATCTATAATGATTCATAAAAATCATTATAGTGAAATTATAATGAATTTCATTTTAACAAAATTAACTTTTTTTAATTACAGATATTGAAATAGGATTCCTTCCATGGCTAATGAATGAAGTTGACAAAACCATGGAATACAGTATGGTGGGAAGAACAGTGCTTGACAGTAAGTTGTTTTATTTTATGTAAAAGTCATTTCTGAGGCTCCTGGCTGGCTCAGTCAGCAGAGCATGCAACTCTTGATCTCGGGGTTGTAAGCTCAAGTCCTGTGTTGGGTGTAGAGATTACTTAAAAAAAAAATTTTTTTTTAAAGAAAAGTCATTTCTGAAATGTTCCAGTAGAAAGAATGAATAGAAGAAAGATGTTAAATTTTATAGTTTTAGTTTTTAAAGTTTCATTATATCAATTGTATTAACAAAGGCGCATATTTTTACCCTCAATAATACTTTTGGTTGTTGTATAATTTGGTCAGAATCAATATCTTCTGTCATTACTTTATCAATGATATTCTGGTAAAACACGCATTGAATGTAATTCATATTCAGTGCGTTAAGTGGCACAGAAGTTAAATGTGCCAATATCGTATAAAAGGTTACAATACAGGGAAGGGATGAGGCCTGGTGAGTGCTTTATAGTCCTCTGTAAGTCAGCATTATAACTACCCAAATCCGAACAGTCAGTGATTTTTCCACATAAAATTTTTCAGAGTTGATTCGTGAGGTGGTTGAGAAGAGACTGGCTGCGTATGAGCAGAGGGACGACCAGCCCCCGGCCGGGAAGCCTAAGGACGAGCTCGGGGGGTCCGGGAGGACGACAGAACCACCAGCGGGTTATGAACTCCAGGAACAAAGCACAGCACAGCCACAGAGGCCACTTCTGGGAAGAGACTCCCTGCAAAGAACACCAGATGATGGAAGATATATGGAGAGTGTGTTAGCCCAAGAAACGAAGCTTATGGAAGAAGGAGAGTATGAGCAAACAAAAATAAGGAAAACCTCGGGGACAGAAGTGCTACAACCAAGGGGAGACTTCCAGCCATGAAACCAATCAACAGCCAGTCAGCATTGCAAGCAATCAGGTAATGGTGCGCAGGCCCCCTCAGGTTATGGAAATTATGTTGCATTTACTCAACATGCCTTTTTGTCTACTGGATTGGACAAATCAAATATGTTGAAATAATAAAACTAATTGAAATGAAACTTAATTCATTTATTTACTGGTAGACTATCTAGAAGCTATACTGTAACTCTAATGAGAATCATGTGTATTACAAACTTTACCGCTAATATAACTAACAAATATATTTTCCCTTAATTTTTCTAATTTTGTGGGTTAGTTTTTTTTTTTTTTTAGTATCATATTTCATGTTAGATATCAGTGCTGTCAGCCAGTAAGCCTTTTTCTTCTTTATGGGAAAACCATTTAACCTCCTCCATGCAAGAATACCTAACTGTTGTGTCACTGAAAGCTGTAGTGCCCCCTCCTGGCAAGGACAAGAAATATACCCTTATTTGTGTCAAACTAAATAGATGGTTGGTTACCCCTTCCATCTGCAGTATTCAGGTAAAGCCCAAGAGTCTACAAATTGGTAATATGCGCTTGTCCATTTTTTTCACATTTCTATTTAAAAAATTCAAACAATACCAATGAAGCTAAAGTCTCTACTTGCCCTTATGCAGTTCCACTCCCCTCCTCAGTATAATCATTGTTATCATTGTTATAATTAGGTGAGTACCTTCTAGGCCTTTTTCAAGATATACATATACATTTAAAACCTAAAAATATAGGGGTTGACTTTTCTTTATATAAATGTAAATGTATAGTTTGCATTTTTCACCTAACAATATATCATAGACCTTAAAGGTTAGTACATATAAATCTCTTTTTTAAATATGGTAAGATATTATATGTTATGACTATATTGTAGGGAATTCACATTTGACTTTTTAATCTAAACTTGTCTGAAGAGTTTACCTGGACTATTGAAAATCACAGATATTTTCTCTCTCAAGTCAGATTAACCTTAAGCAGTCATTGAAGCCCTCTGAAGCTTTAGGTAGATACAGCCTATTTTCCTCAGAATACTTGTAGTGAGCTGTAGTGAGTTGAAATAACTTGCAGTTATTAACACATTACCTTAGTTTCTTTTGAAGATAGATACCAAAAATGTATCCACATTTTAAAAATGGAGAAAGAACATTTTCCTCCATTTGTAAAAAGAAATGCGCCGTATGTCTACATAGCATTATGTGCTTTTCAAACCATTTTCCCATGTATTATACCACTTTATCATTTTAACCTCGTAGCAACCCTTCTGAGGTATGTGTGGCAATATTTTTATTTTCATTTTTAACAGTCTTATTAGTTAGGTCAGCCAGCAAACATTAACTGCATGCCTGCTGTCTATTGGGCCCTGTGTAGGAGACTGCCAGTAACAGCCTAGCAGTGGGGCTAAATAAAGTAGGGGTATAAATAAGGAAACCACAGCTCAGGGATTTTAGGTGATTTGCCATGAGTCACAAGCCTCGTAAGTAATGGGATGGAAGCTAGAACATAAATCTTCCTTCTAATCTACTGTACTTTCTTGTAAACAACCTTGAGCCCTTGTGAGATACAGAGAATAACTTTAAATAAATTATTGCATCAGCAGCATTTTTAAAAATTGGAATCACACCTGTTACCATTGCTAGGTTATTCCATCTTGTTAAAGTCTCTATGAGCATCCTAAAGTATACAAGATATTAATTTTGGAAAGAACAACAAGGCATTTTTTTTTATTGGGATCACTGTGAATCATTATTATTGATTTTAAAAACCTACAGTTTTAAAAATGCTTTCAAAATGGATTGGAGGTTGATTATCATCTACAATTCTAATCCTCTTTTACAGTAACCTATTCCATTAAACACTTTGCAGATGTTCCATTAAACATCCAGACTTGTGCTCTATAATTCCATGAATTCAGTTTATTAAATATATGAAAATCTGTAGACTCCACACTGAAATCAGTTAAGTTTAACTGCCATCCTATTAGATGCTACAGAGAAACAAAAATGATTAAGAGGTTAGGTGACTGTCCCTGTGAGAAAACTTAGAGAAACAGATTATATATTATCTGGAGAAAAATTATTGAATGGAAACTTTAAATTGGCTTTGCTACATGTGCTAATACTCTTCTTATGAGTTCTTTTCCTTTCCATCATTTCTACTAACACTAAGCGAACAGATGCTAAATAGTAATAAAATGCATGTTATGTAATAAATTTATAGAGACTGTCATCCCTGACAGTGATAAATTCCCACATCACTAAAATAGGGCAGAGAGTTCAAAGTAGTTTCCTCCAGTGTAGGCGTCATGGTGTTCAAGTCATTCTGACTTCTCTTGAGCTGAGGGGTGTTGGCACGGCCTGGGAAGTCCCTCAGGGCAGCTCAGGGCAGTGACTGGAAGCCTGGATACCGGAGCCAGACCGCCTGGGCTTGCTTTCTGTCCTGCAAGAATACAGTCTTCACCACACATTAGGTGGTTTGCCTTTGTTATTAGGAAAAAGAACCGACTTATCAGTCATGTCCTATTTCTGAAATATGGCAGGGTGGGAAACCTGCAGAAGGAAAAACTATTTGGAGACTATAATTCCTTTGAAAGTCATAACGGGGATGGGACAAGTGGCATTTTCATGTCATATCAAAATGTTATGGTACCATAACCATCAAAATGTTAATGATCCCCATTTCTTCTCTCCTAGAAGGCTTTCATTTTCTTATCATGGTGTTAAAACATATCAACCACAACAGCTACATTTTTTAAATCTATAATCTTATTTTCATGTGCTTCACTTACTATGAAAAATTTGGCACATTCTGCTTTTCTATTTTGTTTATAAGTGAATTACAGAAAGTATTTATATACATTCTATAGCTTAATAGCTGTAGCCATTTATCTTAATTTATTTAGCCTAAAGGCATTCTGGAGAGGTCCAAAACAGGGATTTAATTTCCCCACAGACCAATTAGCACCTATTGTTTCTTAGCCATAGTTCCCAGGTCTAACCAGAACCAGCCTTCTTCTGACAAGCACAGGAGAAGCACATCAAAAGCACAAACAAGGATGTTGCAAATCAGGTTTTTATCACTATGATAAAAAATACTGTTAGTGATATTGGATTGGTGTCTGTAATTCTCCCTTTGAATTGAAGGATATTTACCTTTGGGTGTTAGTGATATCAACTTACAGATTAAAATTTAATGAATTGATAGCTTAGATGTTTTTGTTTTTCATAAACCATGAGAATAGTATAACTGAAATATGTGAGAAGATACAGTGATGACACTATAATTTTGCTTATAAGTAAAATCTATGAAATATTGAAGATAATTTCAGGATAAAAGTATCTTGAAGATAACATTTAAACAATTTTAAATCTTTTTTTTTAACGTTTATTTATTTTTGAGAGAGAGAGACAGAGACAGAGCATGAGCAGGAGAGGGGCAGAGAGAGAGGGAAACACAGATCTGAAGCAGGTCCCAGGCTCTGAGCTGTCAGCACAGAGCCCAATGTGGGGCTCAAACTCACTAACTGCGAGACCATGACCTAAGCTGAAATCGGACGCTTAACCGACTGAGCCAACCAGGTGTCCCGAGCAATTTTAAATCTTTTGAGAAGAGTTCAAAGCATGAATAAATTTTTATCGCTATATGCATCAATAATGTTTGTAAATATCAAAGCATTTTTAAATAGTTTATTAGCTCTTTAAGTTTTATTTTTATTATTATTTGAGAGAGAGAGAGGGTGTGCAGAGAAGGGGCAGAGAAAGAGAGGGAGGGAGAAAATCCCAAGCAGACTCCACACTGTCAGCCACAGAGCCCAGCACGGGGCTCGAATCCACAAACCATGAGATCATGACCTGAGCCGAAACCAAGAGGCAGACACTTCACTAACTGAGCCACCCAGGCACCCCAGTATTAGAACATTTTTATTTGCACTACTGTATATATGGTCTTCTAACATTTTAGAGTATACTGATATCCATATTTACCACTAGGTGTCAGTAAAACTCTAAGGTAAAGTTAACTTGCCTCCAACTTCATACATGATGAGAACGAGACCTTGGTAGACAGAGTTCAAAAATACATTGTATTCCTTGGAGACACTAGACTCACAGTGAATTTTTTATCTTGCCCTAAATGGCAGCTGCCACTGCCAGCTCTGTAGAGGTGCCAGTGGACTTCAACCTGTATCTGAACCCTTAAAATGGTTGTTGTAGAGAGGACCTTAGCTGTCAGATACTCTAGTCTTCTATCCAATACAGTATGTTTAATAGTGCCCGGTTATCATGTTTAGTTTGGTCTCCCCAGGCCCAGGCTATGGTAAATAAATGCTTAGTCAATTACATTATTGGATAGTTTTCATTATCAGAAGTTTCTCTTATACTGAGTCAGAATCTGTTCCATTGTAACCTATGCTTTTTGGTCATAATCCTACCATTTGGCATGAATATGGTTCAGGGAAACAGAACAATTTTATTACCATATTAGCCCTGTCCTATATACTCCAGTAACTTTTTCCTTTCTTCCAAGCTTTTCTTTCTCTGAATGAAATATCACCACTCTTCGCAATTATTCCTCATATGGCATAGTTTCAGAACTTACTCATTCTCCATCCTGGTTACTGTTATCTTGAAACTCCTATTTGTTCAACATCATCTTAAACATGTTTCCCAGAATTAGATATACAACTACGGATGTAATCTAACTCAGCAAGGAGTACTGTGGCATTAGGATCTCCCATGATTTGGACATCACCAACTCACTTGTAAATTCAGTTATCTAGAAACCTCATTCTTAAAACATAGAGAAAAAGTCAAAATGATTTCTAGGCAGTCACAATGTCACAAAAGTCCACACACTTTGCAGTGGGCCATCCAAAGCTTTTTAACGTATTGCTAACCAATTTGGCTATTTGATTATTAACTCCACAACATATTGGAAATAATATATTAACAAGGAAAAAGGGACTGCTGTGGGAAGACTCATAGCCTAACATTTATAAGAAAAAGGCAGGAGGGGCACCTGGGTGGCTCAGTCGGTTGAGCATCTGACTTTGGTTCAGTTCATGATCTCACGGTTCATGAGTTCGAGCCCCACATTGGACCCGCTGCCATCAGCCTGTCAGTGCAGAGCCCACTTTGGATCCTCTGTCCCTTCTCT